TCGATCAGTTGACGACTTCTAATACAAAGATCGTGATAATGGGAACAGACCCTTGAATATCGAATCAACCGTAAAATGTAAATACCGTCGTATCATTGATTTCTAGTTCTGTTGGCTATATACGATAGACGTAGTCAATAAACTTCTTGTTATGCATAGACAAGATGCCATCAATACATCTGTAGGTGAAATTTAGCGAATTTGCAAGGTATTTTTTTTTACTTTTTTATAAGCTCTTCAATAAATTCAGTCTCATATGAAAAAAGTCGGCTAACAGAGGGGCACAGCTAGTTTCATTGCTTGGCGCTACTGTATTTAACGAAATATCTATAAAAGGTGATATTCACATGCAGTCTTTTATACAACCTTTGCTGATTGTTGGTGATATTTGGACCATTAGATTCTAGTTACACCTGGGGGATATGAAGAATATTCTGACCATTTTACAGTATGGAGAATGCTTTCTCCTAGGAAGATCGTCATTTTAAGGCAGGGCAATATCAAAAAACATTTTTCAAACGTTGAGAAAAAAAAATTGAATTTGTAACTGGCAACATACAACCTATTTACGAATTTGCATAAATAAAACAAAAACAAAAATTCTTCGAGGGACAACTTTTATTTCAATGAGTTTAAAACAAAACATCAAAATCTGTCAATCTAAAACATATCGTAACAATTTTTTTAAATACCTGTGTTTATCAGTTTTTCTTGGTTACTGGCAGTAGCATGAATTGTCTCAATGAATGAAAGGCCAGATAATGAATTCTATCTTGCAAGCAACCTGTTCTAAATAATAACATCATTTTTTCATGATCATTACAAGACAATTAGCTGAAATATTTTTTGTTCAGGATCTTCAAATCACACTTTCCTTGGCAATAGATAATTTCCATCAATACATTGAATAAAAGGACCAAAATGACAATAAATTTCAACAATTTTTCCCATTTTTAGAGATGAATTTATGATAACCAAACACTTACAAATTACCAGGTGTTTTATAAGAACAAGAAAATTCTGCAAATTTCGAAAACATTGATAATTCAGGGAAAATAATTTAATTTTTTTTTTTTTAAATATCAACAATGAAGGCCCTTGTGGAAACAAATAAATATTGAAAACAATTTCATTATAACACTAATAAATAAAAGACCACAGGAAAGTCCTGTACACTCCAACAATTCATCACATTCACATCAAGAGTTTAAATCTTAAACAAAATCATTGATTTTCTTTGTCCTTTATTTCACAGTTTGTTGATTCTTCTTGGTAAATGGTGTCATGATGTCAAAAATATTTGTACAAAAATGAATTTGCAGTCATAACGAGTATGATCCCAAATGACCATTTGACCACTGTTTATTTCTGAGATATATCACCAATATTGTTGTGTGTAATACAACTACATATGCTGTAAAATCCTTAATTTTTGAGATGGATTTATTTTGTTGATATCTTATCCTTGAATTCATGTCTCCACGAACCATTAAAATTAGTATAAGTATATTTATCCACAAAATCAGGTGTCCAAGAAAAAGTTTTTTTTCATAAAAACCATAAGTTTACGGTACCTTGTCATCATCTAACTGTAAAGAGAACCATGCAGATCTTTTCACTGATAATAAAATGATGATATATCACCTTATTTTTTTGTTTTTTTTTTGTGTGTGTGTGTTTGTTTTGTTTTTTTTCTCAAATGTATTGGGAATGTACTAGACAGGTAAACTAATGGCTAACATTTAAAAATAAAACAAACAAAATCATCTGGCAAAATCAATTAATGGAATGATCTTGTATTTAAATAACACAGATTTAGAAAATGAGCAATTCAACATAATAGTAAAAAGCACCAACATTAATGTATTAATTAATTATATATTAAAAACCATTCACCATGCAGTGACCAACCAAAGAGATTCCAGGCTGATTTTTATTTAATATGATATGGTCTGTCAGATCATGAACAATTTCAGTCCTCAAGGACAAACATCCACTATTAGTGACTGTGTTGTATTATCCTGTTTTCTTTGATAAATTGTTAACATATCACTGCTTAAAGGGAGACAACTTTGTTCTTTGTATTTCTACAGTTTTGAGGATGTTCATTTTTCAATGAATTGTCTCACTATAAAAGAAATATATCCTTTATTGTTTTATCAAAAAACGAAAAAATAAGAAGTTATGATTTTGAGCTTATTTAAAGATGTATCACATGTGTACATTTATATGTTAATCAGATAAAATATCTAAAAATCTAAATTTTTGTTTCTATTCAAAATTGATCAAATTCAATATCATTTAAATATTGACAAAATATGTTCATATTACAGATATTAAATGACACACCCACTTTTTCTTTGTTCTCTCAAACCCCTATCTTACCAGATATTGTTCAAATCACATAGATTTCTTATTCAAATTATGAAAATTGCATGATATCATTCAATTCCTAAACTAAAAAATATTTTTATCTTATTTTTATAAGGTATAGAAATAAATAGAAATATAAACAACAGCTACAAATTTCTTTTTTCGTTTTACGTGTAAACAACTTATCTGACATGGTTAATTACAATAAGAAAGCGTGTAGGCAGAATGTTTGCTTTCATATCAACAACTGCAGAGAACCTAATCTTTCATTCATTTTTGATCAATAACCCTTTCTTAAGGTAATTTGCTATCCATGACATAAACATCCTACAGCTACGATATCATTCAAATGGTAGGTCATTTGGATATTAATTGATGAGACCATTGCTCAGAACACATACACATCACATGTTATGTGTCTGCTATCATACAACCTCAACTCTAACACCAGTGTTTGGTAATATGTAATTTTAAATCTAACATAAATAGCAAGTATACTATGTTGGGAAGCAAACCTTAACTCTGATACACACATTATTGGAATATTGTGTAAGGTAGCATATACTCTGAAGTCTAACGCACATCAATGGTATGATATATGGGGAAACATTTACTCTGACATGTACATCAATGGTATTTGATGTGTGCGATACATGTATAACAAGAGGGTCATGGCCTTTAATGGTCATCTAACAATCAATTAATGGATAGACAAACTATAGAATTTGCTGATTGTGGTCTGACAAATCTGATGAATTCAAGTTTTGAACATTCCTAGAAAGTATCAGAAACTCATAAAAGGTAAGTTCCATACATGAAAAAAAGTTACACAACCATGTTATAAATGGCTACTCTGGTTGAAGTTTTGATCAGACTAAAAAAATAACAACACGTCATCTCTTTCTTTTCCTTAACAAATCAAACCCCAAATATTTTTGTCAATGGTGTGAATAAAACTTGAGAAGTCGTTCTGACTATTTGTTCAAGATGAAGCATGTTGGATTTTGTACCAAAAGTGAAAAAATAAGATTTATTCAGGACAAGCTCAGGATCACTTCAAGCACATTTGATATCATTGCCACTCCCTAATAATGTTTCAGGCCATAAGTTGGTTGAAATCTACCCAGGCAATTAGAAAGAGTAGTGTTTTGGTTCAAAATATTGTCTAACTTCCCCTTTTGGAACCACATCCCGAGGGATCAAATCAACTTTCTGAATTTTAGAAATGATTCTGAACCATCAATGATGTTTCAAACCAAATTTGGTTGAAATCCATTTAAGCATAAAGAAGAGTATCATTTTGTAGCAAAATATTGACTAACTTCCCCTTTTGGGACCCCACCCATGAGTCCCTAGGGGTGAAATCAACTTCCTGAATTTAAGACATGACTCCTCACCCCGATGATGTTTCGGACCAAATTTGGTGGGCATTAAGCAGATGTAGCGTTTTAAAGGAAAAGTGTACAGATGGCGGACAACACATGACGACAGAAGATGCACATAGCAATTGGTCATCTTGTACCTTCAGGTCAGATGACCTCACAAGATCTCTCTATCTGCAGATACAGAAAATCTGTAATGCTCCACTCAAGTACAAAAGCTTGCATGAAACTATTCCATAATGTATCCTATGGGAAAGCACCAGTGCTAATCTTTATAATGGTGGGAGTTTCCCAAGAAAACCTCTCAACCTTCCCTGTTTTAGACCTGACAAAGACCTACCTAGTGAACATCAAAGTCTATATATAATTAATGATCAAGCTTCAGCCCCTTCTGGGGTTTTGTTGTAAACCCCTATTACTTGGATACATAAAAACTTAATTATACATTAGCTACATGTAACAATTCATTAAGTTTTAGCAATGTTTTGCAGAGTTTATCAACCTTTTAATGGTCAGGGTCCTTTGGAAATGGGATCTCCTTGTAGTAGCTGGTTGCTATCTCACTGAACAACATAAGGGAGGTCTGCCATATGCCATCCAGAACTTTTAGGATAAACTATCTTACCCAAGGACACAAACACATCAGCACAGACTGGTCTGTTTCTCAACCTCTTAGAAATATACACATCCACAGGCAAGGACAGTTGAACCAGCCACATCAGATTTTCACCTGAGGTTCTGTAGGTCAACAACCTGCTGAATGAGATATCATGGCCCTCATATTGTGATTGTCCTTCAATATTCAAGTCTACTCATCAACGGATATTTATAATATGTTGACATAGGAATACTATTAGTTAATGCTCTCCTGAAACAAGATTAAGACCTGACATGACCCAAACATAGTGGGGGTGTAATGATTATACTGGCTATTAAATATCAATGTTAATGGTGGTGATAATCCATGTGATTGGACCCCATTGTTTCTGTTGCCCGTTCACAAAGTGCCATGAGTGGCTTTGAAAACTTGCCTTACATTCTATTTAGACAGAACAAGTAAATTATGTATCATTTTGAAACACAACTTCTCCTCCCTTGCCAAAAATAAACTATTTACATATTTCCTGACTCAGCAATTACTTAACTGTATCAAATGCCACAAAAACAAAAAAAACAAACAAACAAAAAACAGACAAAAAGAAAACATGCAAGTTCCTCACAGTTAACACTTAAAACTTTTGCACTTTGACCTGTGACCTCATAACCTAGTGACCCCTGGGTCACGTGCCGCTGACATTCTGTTTATATTGTCTGAGGGCCTGGAGAAAGACTTTCTTGGTTTCCTCCATAATGTGGTAGTAAGTCTGTAGATCTTCTTCCTTTGCCTTCAGTGTACTCTGTAACGCTGTCTTGAGAGCTTCATTTTCATCACGCTGGATCTCCAAACTGTAATTCAAACGTCACTCAGCTATGTATGCAATACATTACCTAGTTATTCTCAAAATTGCATTTAACAATGACATTGATACTATGGCAGCCAATAATGATACTAATACACTTTTTCAAAATAAATGTTAGCTTGTAAAGCATTATTCTACATACACAAGACTGATGGCTAAAAATCATGATAACATTTTTTGTTAGTCTATTGTTCCAGTATATCATACATATTACTTAGTATTGACTTGTATAGAATACCAATAATAGTATATTTACTGGTTGATATCAACGTACAAATGACAGCTTTAATGTAACTTGAATATTTACTTGCAAATTCATTGTCACTTAAGAAGAAATCTTATTTTTCTGTCGACTTGATTCAAATTAAGAGGTGAGATATGAACTTACTTAGTTTTAATCTCATCTACATTCATAGTATCAATGTTTTCCTCCTCTGTTACATCAAACATATCCTTTCCAAGCATGCTCGAAGATAGGGGGTTGGCCGACATCATTGACTGACTACTTACACGGCCTGAGGTTTGCTTCCTGGCTCGAGGTATAGCACCTAAAAATCAGCAATTTGAGAATGACAGGAAAAATTGGCTGTGTGGTGAAGAACCTGTACACCCCTTTCAACATTTTTTTATTTGGAAGAGATCAAAATGTATTTTACAATAAAAAATCCACTGTTATTTGGGAATGATGAAAAACAAGTTTACTGGGATGTACCCAATCTCAATTCAAATATTTGGTTTGAGTCAATTACACCAAAGAAGAAAAAGCACTGTCATACTAGACAGTTAACTTTGCAGGGCTTATATTTTGCAGTTGTCCCACTTTGGGCTAGTTCTCGAGGTTTAAGTTTTGCACATGTCTATGTAACCCTGTTAAATACTAGCTGCAATATACCACTCAGATAGAGAGAACTTCTCTTTAGCTCAGACAGTTAAGCATCAGACTAGTAAGCCAAGGGTCCAAGGTTCGAATCCTAGTGGAGGCATTGACATAAATGATGACCTCTGTTACACTGGCACCCATGTAGGGACCTGGGATTAGTAGTTAGCCATACCCAACCAGCATCGCTGTAGCCCTGTAATCTCCAGGACAAGTTATTTCCTATAGGGGGAGTATGTAACCCTGGTAAATACTAGCCACAATATACTGCTTGGCTAGTGGAGGCATTGAAATAAATAATGACCTCTGTTACATCTTTACATCCATAAACATGTATACGGGCATACAACCCCTGTAAATATCAACAACTACTGGATATCTGAAAAGTTTCAACCCAGTTTAATTTTCACCCTTTTCATCCATCACTTATATGACCCTTTTATATAATCTTCAATACAAAATGATCATGAGGCGACTTTGTGAACATTTTGGGATAATGGTCAAATATACAAGGGCAAAAATATCCTGATATACATGATGGTATACAGCATATGAGAGGATCAATCTGATGACTGTTTTGTCAGAGTTGTCTACCCTTGCATCCACTTGTAGCTAAATGAGATGCTAAACCCAAACTAAAGTGATGTAGATTTTGACAAAGAATTTGAAAACATGACAAAAACCTCAAATCACTTATTTAAAAAAATAGTGGAAAAGGAACTCAAACAAAATTTTTTATATCAGCAAATTAATGTGATATTTGACTTAGAAATACCAACGGATAGGATGAAGGATGGATGTTGGACAGGATTAAGTCCAGATGACCATACAATTTCATGATGGTGGTCAAAAGTCAAATACAGGCAAAGTTTACAACAAAAGCCTCAATTTTCTAAGATTGTTAAATAGATGCAGAAGGCATATATTCTGTATACATTTATAGTTATGACTATGAAAGTGCCTACCATATACAGCAGTGAGGTCCAAACCAAAAATGCAGAAAAAAGTAAACCAACAAACAACTCAGGGTTTTCCCTGAGTCTCTGAAACCTGCACTTTGACTTGTTGAATTGACAAAGGACGCTCAAAATTGATACACTCTTTTCTCTACATTGTATGTGATTTGAATCCCTGGACTCATATATTCATATATTTGACGACTCCAGGAAAAATTGTGTAGACTTCCATGTATGCTATACCTGGCTGGCTCTACTTAATGAACTGTAATAATGATAACTGATTTAGAGATAAGTATTAAAACTTTGGTTACTGGTAACTAAACAAATGTAAAGAAAGTCATCACTTTGATTTTGGTGAAAATTTCATTTTTATCCTATCTTTTATTTGGCTGCTACTGAACACTCGGGGAGGTAAATGTTCTCCAACAAACTTACTACTTGATTTGTTGATCAGATTCTGTTGTTCTACTTTGTTTTTGCCGATCTGTTTCTCGAGAAGGGCATTTCTCCTTCTTTGCTGTACAAGTTCATTCTGAAGCTCTGTCAACTTCTCGGTCTGTTCAGTCATTCTATGATCACAAAATAAATTGTTATGTTCCTAAACTGTCATAAACAGCCTGTTTCACCGCAAGACTTAGATATTGCAATCTGATGTATGGAGACAATCTTCAGTCTATACCACAAACTTACACATATCAGTCCGTGACTATGCTTATGATTGTATTAGCTAATTTCTTATCTCACTTAATCACTGTAATATCTAAACTTATTTCCAAACACATGAAATTAAATGATAATTATCTGATATGAAAAAGAAATTTGCATTCATAGGTACATGTATTAGATATTTTACACCAAGAGCGATAACTCTTTAAAAGGGAGTAAAAGTAGTTATCATAATTTTGTGTAATCAGACTCCAGTTTTAGTGAATGATCTTCAAGGATTCAGGTGTTTTTACCTTTGCTGTACAACTTTGACAAGCTCTGACAAACGGTCTCGTTCCACTTCTGTGGCTTGCATCACTGTGTGGTACTCTTGGCACTGATAGGTTAAGTCTGCGATGGTTTGACGGTCTGCATGGTTACTAATAAAAACAAGAAAAATATTGTATAATATGGATTAAGCAAAGCAATACTGGTTACCATTTGTTTTGGACCAGTAGGTTAATTTGAAGGGTAGAAAACATCCAAAAACTCCAATTGGTTCAATATACTGCCTCATCCCATTCTAAACCCATCCAAAAACATGAAAGACGCCTCAAATCCAATGACTTTATCAAAATTTGATAAATCATATCAATGTAAAATGTTCCATCTCTTAAATAATCTTACTTCGTAGGTGTCCGAGCTGACTTCCTGGACGGGACCCTGGAACTATCCATAGCGCTATTAGAAGTTGGTGGCCTATCCATGGCAGATGAGAGCGGCCGATCCTTCATCCCAGATGGAGGTCTCTCACTTAATCTACATCAAAACAGAGACATGAAGTCAATTTCCTGTCAGTCATTTACCCCAGTACTCCATCTTCCAGAATGGATTTTGTGTGAATTTTCAAGAACATGTGTCCATATCCAAGACAATATGCAGTGAAAAAACGCTGAAAAATTGTCAACCATTGTGTATTGGTGTTACATGTAGTTAGGTAAATCAGCTATCATAAACAGTAATCTATTAAACATATTTATCTTCCAATGAACCCAGGGCAACTAAACTGTGACCCATGACACTAGATAGGTGAGTTTATTACAGGACAATGCCTATTTAGATTTCAAATGGCCTATCTTATTTGGTCCATGATACAAAGTGATCTACCTTGGACCATGACTCTGGAAGGCCTACCTTTACCTATGACAAGGAATGACCTACCTCAGACCATGACTCTGGAAGGCCTTCATTTACCTATGACAAGGAATGACCTACCTCAGACCATGACTCTGGGAGGCCTACCTTTACCTATGACAAGGAATGACCTACCTCAGACCATGACTCTGGAAGGCCTTCATTTACCTATGACAAGGAATGACCTACCTCAGACTATGACTCTGGAAGGCCTACCTTTACCTATGACAAGGAATGACCTACCTCAGATCATGACTCTGGGAGGCCTACCTTTACCTATGACAAGGAATGACCTACCTCAGATCATGACTCTGGGAGGCCTACATTATCTATGACTCGGTGTGACTTACCTTGACTGTGTAGGTGTAACTGAGGATACAGTGAAGTCCAGCTCTATGTTCTTATCGCCAGTCATTGGGCGGCTACTAGGGATAGAAGACGGAGGGCGGTTATCCACTTGTTGGAATAGCTGATTTACACCCTCCTCTTGAGCTTTGTGTAGATGCTAGATAAATAACAATAAATGTAAGCTATCAGATGTATATCTTTTGTAATCAGAAGTCAGAAATTTGATATCAGGAGAGGAAGAAATGAAAAAAAAAAAACTTTGCACATTGAATGTTTTTAAACGGAACATAAAATATTCTCACAATTAGACTAACCTTTACTCAGTAGGAAATTAACAATAATGAAGGCATAGAATAAATAACATAACCACTATGAAAACAATTGCTGCTAAGAATGACCCAATATAATGTTGAACAAGTGACAGAGCCATACTAACACTAAATCATTAACTGGGACAAAGTTACTCACATGATATCTAACAGTACTCACATTGAGTTTGAGCTGCCTAATCTCGTCCTCTAGTTGATGGACTTTCGACTCCTTCTCTGTAACGATGGCCTTCAGTTGCTGTACAATATTGCTGTCCTGTTGGGCCTTCATTGACATGTGTTTGAGCTGGGCCTCTGCCTGCTGACTACTGGCTGTTTGGTTACTGCCAGATTCCTCCAGCAGCTTTTGTAGCTTTGTTTGCTGACGCTAAACAAAACAATGGAGTCAACATGTTTGGCTATATATATTTCAAACAAACAAGAATCAGAAAGTGATAAGGAGTATCAGTAATAACATATAGAATTCACTGAAATGGAACTCATGCTGAATCTTCATGTGACATGAAATGATTGCTGATTTATACAGTAAATGCACCTGTGTAATATTTTTGCATATTTTCTCGTCTGATATAGCTTATTGTAATGTCAGGATAAGATAATGAATTGAAGTCACACATTTGCATATTACATTGTGACATCACAATGGAAAGCATAGATAAGTAGTTGAGAGAACTTCAAGTGTGAAAATGAAAAGACTGTTACAGCTGTATTTACGAAAGTAATTGATCATATGATAACAAGAAGCTAGAATTTATTTCCATTCCATAAGCAGTTCATATAAGAACACTATCACAAATTTTTTATTTTACCTTTCCACTAAAATTAAGAAATTTTTTACTTGTTTCATAAATTATGTGTAAAAAGAAAACTAACGTAATATCCTATATTACAACAGCCAGGGTTCATTTTGAGATAGGATCTCCTTACAGGCGCTGGTGGCTACCTCACTTTACAGCAAATGAACACATACCATCTAGAATAAGGACACAATCACTACAGAACAGGACTGTATCAGCTTTTCTGATAAGCACTATCATTTCTGTGTAAGGAACGCTGCACCACACAACTCAGATTTTCACCTAAGTTTAAGAAGTCAAATGCTTAACCAGTAAGGCTGTTAAGTAGAAATGAAATCTATGGACAGATGGGTTGATTACACTATGAATCTGAATCAATCTTGAGGACTTACCATGAGAGCTTCAATCAGTTCGTCATCATGTTGACCTTTCTGTATACATGTCTGCATCTGTGCTTTGATTGACTTAATCTCATTAGCTAAAACTTTGTTCCTGAAAACACATACAATATCAAAACAGATTGCATATAACAATATGTTTATTTCATTAACTTACAATTCATGATATCAAGTTCATTGTATCTTTAACTTTTCAACTCCAGATATAAGTAAAAATGCTGTCAAACAGTAAATGTAATGAAGCAAAATAAGCAATAGGTAAATGGTTTAGAAATTAAGTTTAGTGTGGACGTGTATATATGTATACATTGTTTCTCTTACAAATGTTGCAATAATGGACTTTTTCCTTTCGCTGAGCCATAGGGAAGATATACAATAAAAAATCTGTGACAATTGATGTGTGAAAACTAATGTAAGATTCTGTTTATCAAATAACTCCTGTGAAATCTAAATTAGCAATATTCTAAGTCCATTTAATTCAAACCAATCACAGCTCTGCTATGTGTTATTAAATAGCAAAATTAATTAATGGATGTTCCAGTGATAATTGGGTAGTTATGTGATTAAAATATTTTTCAGGTTTAAGTGTAAGCATAATTTGTGCATTTGAAGCACTGGATGGTCAGATGAAAAATGATTTTAAAGTGTTTACCTGGTCTTTGAAGCATCTAGCTTTTTCTTTAGAGCCTCATGGTCTTCTTCTAAAGCCTTCAGCTCATTGGCCTGTTTCTGTAAGGTCAAAGGGTACGTCAATATCATAAAAAGAATTTTAGAGGCCAAAGGTTACAGGTTATATTTTCTTTGTCAAGATGACAGATTACACTTCCAGGTAACATTAAGGTTAAAATGAAAGGTTATGCCTATAAATGAATAGTATGTTTCCACTTCAATATTACCATAGTATAAAAAAGCATACAAAACAAAAGAGATAACAACAAAACTTTTCAATATTAACTGTTTCAGTGTTAGGTATATATCAGCATATCCTCTAACCTCTTGTGACTCCTTCCTCTCTTTTTCCAGCTTTCGAAGCTGTTCCCTGTGTCTATCATCGGCAGTTCGTCTTCGTGACGAAGTATTTCCCATCATCTCCTTCTCTAGGTCTCCCTCAGGCTTTGTCTTACTAGCAAGCTGTGAACGGAGGTCTTCCACCTGTCAACACATAAATTGCAGTTAAAAGCAATAAGTTTAAGTAAAAAATTCTATTTTTTTCTTAGAACAAAAAAAGGAAAGCAATCTCAATAACTCAGCCAAAGTCAGTAGATAATTAGAAAGTGGGATCAAATGAAACAAATTTGTGTAGAAAACACAAAACCTTTCCCCAGCGGCATGACTATGATATATAATGGGAGAAATTTGGGTTGGTTAGCATTGACAAACTCTATAAAAACTGACTATTTTTAAGTTTCCTATGATGCAAGTTAGTAACGATAGAGGAGGTAGTTGTAATGTATGTTTGTGTTCCTACAGCAAACCGTAGGGTTTGTATGGTACGTTAAGTGTGTGTTCATAACTTGACATATAGGATTTACAGTGTGTAAAGTGCTTTTGTGTTCCTACCTTGACATGTAGATTTGTATGGTATGTGTGAAGTGTGTGTTCATAACTTGACCTGTAGGTTTTTAACTGTGTGTAAAGTACTGTATGTGTTCCTACCTTGACCTGTAGGGTTTGTATGCTTTGTGAAATGTATATTCCTACCTTTGACTGAAGAGCAAGGATCTGCTGTGATCGTCCCCTCCAGGAACTGTTGCTGTTTAGTAAACTCTGTACATTGACATTGTCACCAACTTCCTGACTCAATACCTTTGCAAATATAATGAACAATCTCAGATGAAGTTATTTACAAGGCATTTGTGAAAACTTCTGCCAATGTTTTACTTGGGTTTTTTTCAAGTCAAGCAACAAATAAGATTTCATACATTCAAATTGTCATTGTTTTTACTTCTAAATGTTTTACTGTTATGAAATTTCAACCTTTGGAAAATATATTTAAGATATCTATCTGTCAAAATTTGTTTTTTATACCAAGTCTTTCTTTTGTTTTGCTCTTGATAAAAGCTATCTAACGATAAAAACAAATTACTGACCTTATGAACTATTTTCAGTTCCTGTTTGAAAGATGAGCACTGGTTACGATATTCCGCCATTTTGGATTCTGTCTGTTTTAATTTGTCTTGTATTGCTTTCACATCTACCTGTTCTTCAGCCTTAAGGTAAACCATAAAATCGTATTACATACAGTGTAAATGTTTTTGCAAAATATCTATATATAAGGCAAAATTTACAAGGTGAAAATTTTCAATGTAAACAAAGTACATCACTAAATAGAGTAAAATTTTACAAAACACAGCAGCTTTTAGCAAGTGAGACATGTTGTGTCTATAATTAAATTTTCTTAATGTGAAATGATTTATAAAGTTTTCTTTTAGCAACAACATAAAACAAAATAATCAAAATTTCAAAAGTACAAGAAAAATACAACACCTTTTCCTCCATCTGTGATCTCAGACTGACAGCTGACCCCAGCATAGACCTGGCCTCTTGAGGAATATTGGAAATCTGATGAAAAAGTATGAAAGAAAACATTATATTCTATTACATATCTTTATAATTTGATACAATATTATGGTGAACTAGAAATCTGAGAAATAAGAACAGATAATATTTATTATAATTGAAAATGGAATACACTGTGGAATAATTCTGCATCAACAGTTTCAACTGAATCACACAAAAGCAGTTAATGTCATATCTGACTGTTCAACATGCTGAGATAAAGAACCAGGTAAGAGCCATACAAAAGCATTGTTTACAAAAGAAAATATGTTACCTGATTGTTTAGATCCATACATTTTCTTGCCAATTGTTTACTTTTTGTGCGCTCTGCTTCCATTTCAGACGTAAGTTCTCGTACTTTTTTGGATAACTCCACAATTTTTGTAGCAGCTGTCTCATTAGTTACACCAGAAGCCCCTAGAGATATATATCATTGTTGCATGTGCCATTACTTACAAAAAACCATGGCAAAAAAATAAGACGACATTGCTTTACAATGTTTTTTTCATATCAACTCACTAACCTGCATACATCTTAATATCAATATGTATGATAATTATCATCTGATGGAGTTACAAATACTCAGTAGATTATATATGTTAAACAGCAGTAATAATAAAGTATACTTTTTGCTAATTATTTATCTGTAATATCAAGTAACTATTAAGTTAATATGCTTTCCTTAAAGTTACAAATTCAACCAGTTCTCATGCAGTAAAGGGAGTTAAAAAATATACCTAAGGCAAAATGATTATCTTTTCATTTAATGTTATTTTCTTTTGTTTTTGTGGTACAATAAATGAAATTAAAAGAAATTAAGAAAGAACTTGTAGAGATCCTATGAGTTGAGTGAAATAGACATTGGACAGCAACTTTTCCATTATAAATTTCCTTGAACTTCTATTGAATCGAGAACAATAATAACAATTTATTAATACCAACCTGATTTATCTTCCTCTCTCTTCTTTTTCATGTTACGTAATTCAAAATCTTTTTCACTTAAGAGCTTGTAGACTCGACCATTTTCATCTTTCAATTCCTAAAAAGAAAAAACAAATATATTTTTTGGTTGAAAAACACTTGATCTTGATGTACCAGGCATATACAAATCAACCAATGACTGACTAACTGAAAAGTCTGTTTTGTTTCAATTTCTGTAACAATTACTATTACCGATTATTTGTCTATTTCACTGGCAGTATCTCTGACTACTGCAGCATTTTGGCTTTCAACAGACCAGTTCAAAAGTTATAGACACTGAAGGTTATGTCGAGAAAATCAAAAGCATTGTCAGCCACAGATTTAAAAATGAAAGTAAAACAGAAATTCAACCAAACATGGTTAATTATTGTACACTTACTCTGATTTGCTGGTTTAAATGATCCACAAGCTCCTCAGATACAATACTGCTTCCTTTTGGAACTGGATCTGCTAGCTGAAAAAATTTAAGCATAAAAATGTTTACAATATAGTATATGTATGGAGTAGTTATGAAATCTATTCATACAAAACAAATCTTATTGGATACTTGAAAGGATTGTTTCTCTGACAATCTGTCAAATATACTGTAAATAAAAGCATTTTATCAGACACACTTCACAATCCCAACCCCGGTGGGATCTAGTATGATACCTTTCTAATTAAAACCCCACATGGGATAAGAAATGGATCTGACAGGTTGTCAGAATACAAAGTTTTTTTTTTAGTATTTATGAGCTAAAGTCTGTCTAAAGAAAGTTCTGAGGTCACGTCAGATGAGTTTCAATATAATTTTTTTTTTTCTAAAATGACCTGTGGCAATACATGATGAGGATGGACAGTTCAATATATACAAATAATGTATTATTCCTTAATTATTATTATCATTCCCTGAATAGGCTGAACATTAGTCAAACAATGCAAGCAAATGTTGTTTTACTGGGAGAACATTCATTCTATCTGATCAAGAAATCATACATCACAATAAACAACAGTATGAATATATATAACATATATTGGCATTTTTACTCTCATTAGTTACTCATTTATACCTTTAAATCTAAATGGTCTTCAACCCCAAATGTTGGAGCAGCTACAGGTTTTTGGACGGATGATTTTTCTTTCTGATCCTGTCGCTGTTTTCTTCGCTGTAATTTTTTCTGTTGTTGCTCCTGAAGAAGTTGGAATTGCTGTTTCAGCGTTTCATTCCCTGTATCTTCCATCATTCTCCCAGAGTCAACAGTTCATGTGGCTGTCGGTATAATGACACAAATCATAAAAGTCTATAATACCAGACATCATGATCAGAACATACAAAAAATGTATAGTGTAGTGAAACTTATGCTGACGAACAGTGTGTGATTTATAAGAAAACAGGTCATCATCATAAACTTTACTCTTAAAAATCTTCATAAAAAGGAACAATTTGTATACCATGAACATGCATTTACCTACCAGTACTTTTGCCTCACTGAAATTGGAGCTAATGTGAAATATGTTACTCAATGAATGTATTTGAATAATGGTACTTGGTGACATGAATGCTGACTGAACAAATGTGGAATCAAGAAAACTTTCTTATTTGACTTGTCACAGGGATACTTTGTATATTTAGATCTCAATTACTGAGCTCCTCTTTTGGTAAGTTAATTCCTATTTGTGTTAATGTTAACACCTACCTCTCCTCTCTCTTCTTCCCATTTACCACCACACTGATGATGTTTACAAGGACGCTTAAGAGCCTTAATTCCAGGAAAGTAATATAGGATTATAGTATCTAAGATACTAATTTGCACTTTTTGTTTTTAACCAAATACAATACGCTAATTACCAGCTATTGATATACAGGTAACAGACTATTACTTCTTCTAGCTCAACTTTCCCTGACCACTGGTCATGGTTAATTACATTAACTAGATTTTGGCCATAAGAAATGCTATTATTGGTGAGGTTGTAAAATGTCAGGTTTTTTTGTCTTTTGTTTTTTTTTGTTTTTTTTTTTTGTGGAAATTACAGAATTCATATGCTAGTCGATGGTATATGACAGTGGTCTCATGGCTTGATAATACAAACGATCCAGCTAACTGTCAATACTGACAGAAGTTACAAGATCTACATTGTATGAAAGTCTACATGTAAGTGATTTACCTTTATCACATAATTCAAGTGTTGATTTAGGCCATTTAGTTATATATCTATTAGTAATTATACAAAGGAATAATGCATTTTTTATTGAATGAGGATAGATTTTTTTTTCAACCTGCTGTTGTAGTAACACACAAAGTTAGATACCATTGATTACAACAGAATCAGTGAAACCGAAAACCAGGGGTTCCAAGTTTCATGATCTTTATTGTTGGCAAAGTCATGCTTCAGACACAAAAGGACTGATGGAAAAATAGATGGATGGACTATATACCCCCCCCCCCCCCCCCCCCCCCCCCAAAAAAAAAAAAAAAAAATCGGGGAGCATAAAAAGAATACACATTATCAAATCAATTTACACAGATAAAATTTTCAGCGGTTTTCTACATGGTAACAGATCATGCACAAAAAGTCAACCAAATCAATCTTGCTATCTTTCTATGTGATTCTCAAGATTCTGAATGCTGGATAGAAAAAGGAAAGTACTAAACTAAAAGTGTAACGTTGATCTACTCATAGATATGCTTGTATGAATTTAGAACCTGCAGTCCGTCGGATCACAGTTATGAAATCATATCGATCTCTCCGTTTGATTGTGATTGTTTAAGAGATCAATATTTGTTTATTGCACACCGCGTTAAGATATCTATATGTTATATATCATATCAGGTGATCATTAGATTTCCAATATTGTGGGAACAGTAGTGAGCTAGCCTGATGAAGGCTACCATCTTTGGTTGTCATTTCGTGATGTTTTCAATCCAATCTCACACCAGAAATAGATTTCAACCAATATCTGTCATCATATAATTCATAACCATAAACAATTTTACAAATACTTGGTTCTAATGAACGAAATATTCACAATAACATCAATATTTACCTGTGAAATCGAATGCCGAGTCAATGGTTTGGGTTAGCAACATACCATCATCACTATCACACCGTCGCTTGACAAAATCTGCCAGATCTGCTTTTAAAACAAGCGTTATCGTGATCCATGGTTAATAAAGGAAACGAAGAGGCGCCATGAGGGGCCGGAACTAATGGGAATTTAATGGGATTGGCTCATAAAGTTTCAGTCAAAAATGAAATAGGCTTACAGTTACCACATAAACTTATGTCTATGCAATGTTAAAATCAGGGATTACAAATTATCCTTTAAAAATATTGACTACACGACCTCTAGGTGGACATAGAAGTGCCTATATGATGTCTTGATGGCTTTGTGTCCATGGAGTAGCATCACTTTGAGTGCGGACACCGGAAAAGTAACCTCCGTAGGTACTTATTAACTAAGTGAAACAAAAATGTGTATGTCTATATGCTTAATCATGCAATTTAATCTTCAAAATAAATAATTTGCAAACAAGTATATATTCTGATGCTGTCAAACAAACCGACTTGCTTCTAATTGAATATAATTACGGACTTAAATATCTAAGTCCGTGATATAATCAACGAGAAGATGTCGGCGATGAACGGGAGATCGCTTTTAGGACATTCTAGAAAAATTCCTCGGGTGTCAATAATCATCGCCTTCCTTAAAGCAACAAAGAAAATATCAACAGAACTTTAGTTCAAACTTCAAATCGTAAAAAGATGACAAATATTAACAAAGAATGATTGTTATGGAAAAGTAAAGGAGAATAAATCTAGTGTTCCGGAATGGTAAACTTCCTAGACTACATTTATTATGTAAATTTTTGACTATTAAACTAAGTAATGTCACGTTCTCATAAAATATAATGTTTCCAAAGCGAACATTATTTAGTTTTCATCGTGTTGTGAGATTACCGGTCGACTTGCACGGAAATTATTCATGGAAATAATTCTTGCTGTCATCCTGTGTAACTTAATATTTTATTTGCCGTAATGTTCACATGAAGAGCTTTTATCAAGTTTTCAAACTTGTTTCCGATCCTTTTGCCATTTGTGTTGCAAAAAATTGTATAAATCAAATCAAAAGTATCATTTCAAGGCGAGGTATCCTTGAAGATACTGGTTGTTACCTCACTGAACAACGTGCGGGGAAACCGTCGCATATCACCAGATCGATTGAAGTGAAGTTCCTTGATCAAGAACATGCACAATCACCACAGATTTATCTCGTTGGTATAATATTCAGTACAAAGACGAAGAGGTGTGGTCCCTAGTTACAAGCACATTCCATTACTAGAAATTGATGGTTATCTGTTGTGGAATTTCAACCTTTTCTGTAATTAATGTAAGCATATTGAAACTAAAACACAAAGGCAGAACAACTATACACAATTAATTCTTATTTCACTAACTTTTTTTGTTTTTTTAATCTTTGTTTATACGTTACCGTTCAACTGACTAAACTTTAAATTTTTCGTGAGATATTTTGATAATTTTTTTGTATACACGAGAACTATCCGTGCTAATGATCACGTAGCCAGAAAGATACACGGTGTAAATTAATCTATTCGTCTTATCTCGGCAAGAAATGTAAACGATACTTCTTTCATCTGTTGGCTAGACTTTTAAACACATTTTCCTATTCAGAAAATCAATCTTATTTAATTAAGTACGGCTTCCAACAGTACAGGTCACAATTCACGGTTTATTTTCATGTGCGCAGCTGGTCAAAAATTATAAGTGTCAGTAAGAAGCCAATGTGTAGGTAAAAAAAATAAAAAGCTGCGAACGGTACCTGTGGCGATATGGATGATATAAAACTCTTCTCCTCATTTACTGGATAATTCTATTATTGTATTGATAAATTACATTCACTTATAAATATATATATGTTATAACCAATGACTGGTGTTTCATGTAATTATGACTAGAATAAACTTTCGTGTTGGCTTTTCATGATCATATTGATAAAAAAATAAGGCAATATTCATAAGTATGGAAAGCATAGTTAGATATTGAATTTATTTGTTTTACAACAGTTGCGATACAAACTATGCTTATATCAATCACTCTTGCTGTTCCGGAGGTCGAAAGAAAATGGAGCACCCGTGGAAAACCCACGCGACCCCATACCTTTTCGCCGCCATTCCAAGAATCGAACCCCAGACGCCTTAGTTCGGAAGGCGATCGCGTTAAATTACCACAGCTCCATCCGACCACCTGGCATATTTAGACCAATCGTTCTATGCGCCAAAATTTCGAAGGTCAACTTAATGCAGATCGCCCTGGACAAACCTCAGTGGTGAATTCATTTAATTTCTTAAAGAATCTTATTATTATTATTTTACAGAATAAATATGACTGGCACATGCTACACTCATTTTTACTTTAAATATGATCCTTTCTGTATACATGTATTCATATCCGACTGATGAGAGTGTCACTTCTCCCTACTACAGTATACAGTTAACTAATTTAGTTTAAATCCCAACTTTCTTTCTGGTTTCCATGTTTAATACGTTTGAAGAGTGCAGAGGTATTACGTTCTTTAACGTTGTGTAATTCTTTATTTTAATTGTGTTATTTGTATGTCTCTCGTACAATATTAATGTTGTTGTGTATGTCTAATCTATTCAATGTCAACAATCAATACTATATTTTGATTTATAATCAATTAATGAGAAAACGAGCTTGATAAAACAGCATGATAACCTTAAACCATGTTCACATTTTTTGGTCGATATATCTATCTATAAACAGAATCCTCAGTCGTTTTGATACGAAGCAGTTTTAATATTGGGGGTCAACCCAGATATTCGGTGAAGAAAAACGTACCGCCTTGAATTTTGGTCGAGAATATAATTCTAGCCGGTTTTTTTAAACCAGGGTGATCTAAATGTGGCTATTGTGTTTTTTCTGTCATTATTTTTATCCGTGCCTTTTCTAACCTTATAGTCTTTGCCTTATACCATTTTATTCAAGTTCGTGACAAGTGTCTGAATTACCCGATGTTTTTATCATGCCCCATACACTAAGCATGCATTTGATTGGTTCGTATTCTACTTAATGGGTCACTTTTTTTTATGTTTTAAGCTACGTACTTATAATGTAATATTTCCTGAACGAGGTCCTTTGATATCTATTTTAGTCTGTTTTGTCCAGAGACATGTTATGAGATATAGATCTCGTCGTATTA